AGATAGTCTTAACACTTCTTCTTTTACGGATATTACCTGTAGATCTTTGTGTATGTCTTCGTTACGCACATACCAAGGTGCGTTTACTATTGTTCTGAGAATGATAGATTGCATGGCTTCTAGTTTATTTATGTGAGTTTTGGCTGCTGTGCCCCATAGTTCGATTCCGTATGTCCAGATAGGTTTTATTATTGCTTTGTAAACTAAAAGTTTATTTTCTGCACTTAATTTAGAGTATCTGCTAGTGAGCCAGTACATATTCCTTCTTTTTATGCGAATGTGTTCAATTTTGCTTCTTATATGGTGTTTCCACGTTAATTTTGAATCCAAATGCATACCTAAATATTTTACAATTTCAGTTTGTTTTATTTAATCATTATGTAGTGTTACCGACGGAACAATGCTTTTCTTTAGGGTAAACGTTATATGGTTACATTTGTCAGCATTTACTTTTATTTTCCATTCACTTAACCATTGTTCAAGTTTTAGAAGATGTTGCTGAAGCATGTAAGATGCGATATTAGGGTCTTCGTGAACGGCTAGGATAGCTGTATCGTCTGCAAACGTAAATATTGCAGTTTCATCTGTAGTAGGTACGTCAGCAGTGTATAGCGTATAAAGTAGGGGCCCTAGTATGCTTCCCTGTGGAACCCCTGCCTCAATTTGATACGAGTTGGAACAAGAATCTTGAATTTTTACGAAAAATGTTCTATTTTCAAGGTATGACTTGATGAGCTCGTAGTACGGAGTCGGGAAATTTTGTTTAATTTTGTATAACAGGCTGATGTGCCACACCGTGTCAAATGCTTTTTCTATATCTAGGAAAAGCGCAGTGCAATATTTCTTTTGCTCAAGGGCGAGAGTGATTTTGTTTATAAGCCTATGGATTTGTTCAATCGTGGCATATTTATTTCTAAATCCAAATTGATGCGGAGGGATTAAGTTTTTTTCCGTAATTATCTTTTTTAATCTAACTAAAATTATTTTTTCTAATAGTTTTGACAATATGGGAAGCAATGAAATCGGTCTGTACGATGAAGGTAGATGGATATTCTTATTAGGTTTAGGTATCATGATAATTTGAGCCCTTTTCCAGATGGTAAGAAAATACCTAATTCGTAGCACAGCATTGAAGATAATGGTAATCAATCTTACCGCTTTTCTCTACCGCTTTCTCCACCTACTATATACTTATTTCCCATATCCTGAAAAAAGTTAGTGTACTGTTCAACTGTTATTTTATGTTTTGGAGGGCAATAGACAGCAGCTAATGTTATGTTTCCATGAGTAAGGTTAATAGTAACAGCAGCAGCTTGTATGTGTGCTTCAGTGACAATGCTATGTATAGAGTGTTTAATATCTTGTTTAATTATTATTGCTGCCCCACCGCGGGCGTTGCCGGCTGGGTGTTTGGAATCATAAATATTATAATGGGGTATTTTAATATAATTTTTTACTGTAAGGTGAGTTTCTGCAATGAGCATTACGTCAATTTTATTTAGGTTTAGGAATACTTTTAACTCTTGTATTCTTTGTTGTAGCCCGTTAGCGTTCCAAATTGCTATTTTCATTTTATGTTATTGTTATTAAGCACGCGTGTAAGAAGCTCTATCATTGTATTAATTTGTTGTGATTGTTGACTTAGAAGTTTGGTTTGTTCGAGAAGCATGGTCGTTATAAGCTCGGTATTTCTAGATGATTGTAGTAATAAAAGTTTAATATCTGATATGTCGGACCCTGATTCCTGAGTTTGTGTACTGGGAATTACGTCTTTTTGTATTTCTTGTGTTCGTGTTGCTTGCGCGTAGGTCTTTGTGTATGTGCTATGTTGTCCTGAAGCGGTATAGTCAGTGACGGTTTGAATGGGAGGTTTTGAATTTTCAGTGGCAGTTCTAATTCTGAGTTTGGGGTGTAATTTTTATTGCAACTGTTTCCTTACTATACATTCGTTATAATTAGCAGGATGATTTCCTTGGCAATTAGAGCAATTTCCTTGGCAATTAGAGCATTTGACATTGTCTATTTTCCCTGTGAATGGACAGTCTGTAGTAAGGTGTTTACCCGCACATTTGACGCATGCTGGTATTCTGTTACAGTAATTTCTAGTATGACCATAACCTTGACAGCGAAAGCATTGAGGTATATCTCTTTTTGTTCTGGGAGGTTCAAAAGATATTACGGTGTTTAGTAATCTATCGATTTTGTAAATTTCTTTGTTATTATTTTTGGGTTCGAGTTCAATGAAGAAAAGTGGTAGCGGTTTTTTTGTGTCATGTTTTACTATGTTATTTATTTGTCTTACCTGGTGGTTGAGTTCTTTTAATTCGGTAATGATTGAGTCCGTGTTTGCTTTAGGATGCATACCTCTTAATACTACTTTGTAGCTTCTGTCCTTCTTTAACTGATATGTGTGAAAATTCGCATTCTTCTCTTTCAAAGCTTTAACAATTTTACTATAGGTTTCAGTAGTGTTTGCTTGCACCTTGACGTCGTTATCTTTTTGTTGCTTTAATGTAAAATTTTTGTCAGCTATATTTTTTAGAAGTTCCATAAGGGGTTCTATTATTAGGGCCTCAATACATATAGGTGGAGGTTTTGATTGGAGATTATTATTTCCTGGTGTACTATTTTCTGCAGACTCATCAATAGTTTCTTGTAAAATACTAAATTGATTTTGCGTAGGTACATTCGTTAACCATTTTTCGTTGTTAGATTCTTGCAGATCTATTGTCAGATAATTAGGTGGTTTGAGTTTTCGTTTTTTGTTCTTCGGGATGTAAGTTGGTGAGCTTTCTGACGGTGTATCCGTTTCCATTGGGGTAATTTTTGAATTATTGCTGTAACGATGATTGTTTATGGAGTAGTTTTCACCGAGTTTGGTGAATTTAAAGTGAAAATCACTCGATTTTGCTTCTGCCATTTGAAGTTAAACTTGCCAGTTGGCAAATTTAACGGTTATCACTCTTAAACTAAGAATAGCACAATAATACAATATTGACACACTGGTAATATGTATACACCTCACGTAAACACGTCTGATCACTCTGACGATTCATACGAGACTGACCTAACGAGTAAATAGGTTTCATTCATATCTGTTACGTAATTGTATGATTGAATGAAATAGAAATTACTTCATTAGGAAATAGAAATTATTTTATACTTTTTAGTGCATTTTCCTAGGAAAAAACCGGCGAACATGCATAGAAAAAAAAATAAGGGATACTCTTTCAGGGACGAGTACAAACTAATTACATCATGATTGAGGGTTCTTCATCCATTTGTTCTTTGTTAACTTTCTTTGCAAAAATTTACTGCGCATGTGTATCTCTTACGGTTTAGGACTGCGCAAGGGTCAAAGTATCCGTAAAATAACATTTTTTCTAACAAATCAAATTGATGCATTTTTAGAACGATACGGAGACTAAAATAATACACCAACCTCAACGTGAACTCATCTTGCTGTATAAGTCACGTGTCAGAGCGGTAAAGCTTAG